TATTTTTTTAACATTTTAATAATATAGTTATACATTTTGTTATCTTAATAATTATTTTAAATAATGGTACAGTACTAAGTTACAGGAAAAGCATGGGTGCTGGATTGAACATGATTTCTCTGAAAATTTCACATAGAGGTTGGAAGACACCTGGGAGAGCTTCATTATTAACTATTAGAGCAGCCCATTGTGAAGAATCAGAAGCATTCTCCATGTCTGACATTATTAGCCGGAAGATCCAGGAAGAACGCCAGGGTTTCATAAACACATAGCTGACAAAGTGAAGTCTCTGAGCTCAAGTCTGGCACCAGCACTCAATGACACAATGGGAGAGGGACTCCAGTTATGATTTAAATGGTATTTAAAAGATAGGATGAGAAAAGAGCAAGAAAAATGAATGTTTTGATGTTCTTCTCCAAAATTAGCATTCATATCTGTGTAGACATTTTGCTTGTATAAACATGCATCTTGAACAGAAAATACCTTCCTTGCTATCTTTACTACTTGGGTCAATTTAGTCCATGACTTAGATGGCCCAGGGGAAACAAGTAGGTTAGAAAATGTCATCGTTTCAGTAAGATCTCAAGATACTTACAATTCAGTAGCATGCCCTTTGAAGAGGAATATTTATGCCACTGTAAATACTTTACAAAAGATGCCTAATTGTATTAGAATTTTGATAAATTTTGAATTTACTACTAAAATTTCCTCTAGAGGAACTTTTTCATATATCAGTAATTTTCATTAGTGAAAACACCTTTAATATATATGATGTATGTGACTTAAATTAGAAAAATTTTGAAATTAGGAGTAACTCAGAATTGTAATTAAATTTTTCATACAAATATTCATATAAATTTTAAGCAGTTGATTTTTTTTTCTTATCAGGAATCAAACTCCAGTTAAATCCTTGTAGAAACAAAACAGAAATTGTATTCTGTTTCATCAAATACGGTCATACTTAGTCTTTTCATGATCATTCTTAAAGGTCAATACAATTATAACTCAGTTCTCAGAGTTATATATATATATATATATCAGGTTTCTTTTAATGCCTTGTAGAGTTTAATAAATGTTTTATGTATTTTCATTATTTCAGAATAGTTTAAGCTTAGACAATTATAATTAACATATCCAAGTTTAGCTTCAGTGTGTTTATAACAGTAAAATTGGTAGTTTAAAAAAATAAAATCATCTTGGGGCTTAGTCCCCTCCATGAGGTGTTAAGGGCCAGAAATTTAATCTAAGAATTGTATTTAGAGATGGAAACCCCTTTGGAGGAGATTAGGATTAGATAAATCTCACTGGAGCCCATTTTTTGGAAAAGGAGGTGGGAGGGAGACCAGAAGACACGAACACAGACTCATACTCCTTGTCCCTGCCATGGAATGCCCTGCATTGCCTTAGGATTCTGCCAGTGGGATGACACCACAGATGTGGCCCCCTGACCATGGGCTAGAACTAAGAGACAAAATAAGTGTGTTTTCCTCACTGTAATATACAATGGAGTATTACTCAGCTACAAAGAAAGAAAATGCTTTCATAGGTAAATGGATGCAACTATAGACCATACTCATAAGTGAAATAAATCAATCTCACATGCATAAACATCATATGGTCTTCCCAGTGAAAGAAACTAAAGCAGTGAATAAAATTCATGAGGTACAATAGATATTATGGAAGGGAAAGAAACTACTGTAAAGGAAAGAACAACTGGGATGCAGGAAAAGAGAAAAGAAGGAAAGGGATA